CTAAAGTACCTAACAACATTTTCAATTGTAGCAAGAAAAATATTTGTTATTTAAATTTAATAATATTATTGTTTAATTTAATATTAAACATTATTATTATGGAATTTTTTTTTCTTAAATATTATTAAAAAAAATTATTTAAGTAGTTTATGGTATTTAATAACATTTAAAATTGCCATAGCTTCTAATCCCTTTTTCCAGTACAAGGCAAAATAGAAAAAACAGACAAAGTTAGAAAAGGAAATAATACTATAAAAATACTATAAACAATAAAAATAGCAACAAAAAACAATAATTTCATTAACCTGTTTACCGACGACAATTATGAATATTTTTTGCTAGTTTTTAAACAAAAAAAAAAAAAAAAAATAACTTAAATAAACAACATGTGACGTAAATTGTTTAAAGGTGCTGGCCTTAAAAAATAATTTAAACAAATTGAAGATTATAAAATTTAACAACAATATTTAGTAGTAAAAATAACATACAAGTAGTTGTTGTTTAAATATCTTTATTTAATAAAGATAAAATAAAAACAACAAGAAGATCACGAACAATTACGATATTTCACACCCAGTTAAAATTACGATAAAGCTGAAAACTTTTTATTTAAAAGATACGGTTGAATATTGCTGACTTTTATATGTATGTATGTTTGTTTATACATATGTATATGCGTGTCTTTTAGCTTATGTTTGTTTGGTTGTTTTATAATTTTCTTTAAATTTAATTGTGGCAGTTTTTTTCTATAAACACTTTTTTTTTTACTCTGTTGTTTTACATTGTTAATTAGCAAATAGTGACAAAAATTAATATACATTTTTTTTTGTAAATCTGCCGCCTTTAAAAGACGCAAATTCTGTGAAGTATTAACTCGATTAATTATGCGGTTTTGCTTAAAAGAAAAAAACCCAATGAACCACTGCAGAATTTACAATATTTAATCGAATTTAAAATTGTCAGACGATTAGTTATAACAAATAAAAAAGGCTACTAAAAATGAATAGTCTAACTTATAGTAAGAATTCATTTAGCTATAATGATCTACTAATGGTATAAACCAGTCTATGGACTCGATTGTAGTGTACATTTTAAACACGATTATAGCCTACATATTCGACTGTAGACTAGATCATAGTTAAAATTATATACTAGACTATAGTGCAGACTATAGACTGGAATACAGTCCAGACTATAGAATAGACTATAGTCACCACCATAGGCTAGACTATTGTCCTGACTAGACTATATAGACTAGGCTATAGTCTTGACTATACACTAGGCTATAGTCTTGACTATATACTATGCTATAGTACTTGACTATAGAGTATAGACTAGGCTAGAGCTTTGCCTATAGACTAGGATATAGACTTGACAATAGACTAGGCTACAGTCTTGACTGTAGACTAAGCTTGACTATAGAATTGACTATAGACTAGACTATAGTCCTGACTGTAGACTAGACTATAGCCCTAACTATAGACTAGACTATAGTCCATACTATAGCATAGACCATAGTCATCACCATAGGTTAGACTATAGTCCTGACTATAGACTGGATTATAGTCTTGATTATAGACTAGGCTATAATCTTGACTATAGACTAGGATACAGTCTTGACTATAGACTAGGCTCTAGTCTTGACTATAAGATAGGCTATAGTCTTAACTATAGACTATAGTCTTGACTATAGACTAGACTATGGACTAGACTATAGATTATAGTCTTGACTATAGACTATAGTTTTGACTATAGACTAGACTATAGTCCAGCCTATAGACTAGACTATAGACTAGACTATAGTCCATACTATAGAATAGACCATAGTCATCACCATAGGCTAGACTATAGTCCTGACTATAGACTAGATTATAGTATTGACTTTATACTAGGCTATAATCTTGACTATAGACTATAGACTATAAGATAGGCTATAGTCTTAACTATAGACTATAGTCTTGACTATAGACTAGACTATAGACTATAGTCTTGACTATAGACTATAGTCTTGACTATAGACTATAGTCTTGACTATAGACTATAGTCTTGACTATAGACTATAGTCTTGACTATAGACTATAGTCTTTACTATAGTCTTGACTATAGTCTAGTCTTGGCTAAAGACTAGACTATAGTCTTGACTATAGACTAGACTATAGTCCAGCCTATAGACTAGACTATAGTCCAGACTACAGAATACGCTATAGAGTAGTTAGTAGTCGATATAGACTAGATTATTAACTTGGCTATATTGCAGACTATAAACTCCCGACTATAGACTAGACTGTAGTACAGACTATAGGCCAGAATATGGTCCAAACTGTATAATAAACTACAGTCCATATTATAAACTATGCTATAACCCAAACGACAGACTAGACTATAATCCAAGCTATAGACTACACTATAGGACAGACTGTAAACTCTACTATAGTCCAGATCACCTACCAGATTATAAAAAAAACTAGTGGCTATAGACTAAGTTATAGTCTAGATTGTAGACTAACGATATTCCAGACTGCAGGCCAAATGCAGGCTATAGAACAAACTATAGTCCAGACTATAGTGTAGATTATAGACTAAACTATAATCTAGACTAGACTATAGTTCGAACCACAGTTTAGACTATAATCCAAACTATATTCCAGACTATAGACTAGACTATACTCCAGACCATCGACTAGACTATATTGCAGACTCTAAACTAAGCTATAGTCCAGACTATAGTCCAGAATTAGTCCAGTTCATACCATAGACTATGCTATAGTCCAGACAATAGAATAAACTATAGTCCAGACTATAGACAAGATTATATTCTAGACTATCATCCTAATCATAGTCCGGAATATAGACTAGACTATATTCCATTCTATAATTCAGATTATAGACAAGACTATGGACTTGATAAAAGCCTAGATTATAGTATAAACTGTAGTCCAATTTAAGGCAAGACTTTAGTTCAGACTAGGGACTATACCATAGTTCAGACAATAGACTTGACTAAAGTGTGGACTAGACTGTAGTTCAAACTTAAGGCTAAAATATAGTTAGGCTAAAGACTAGACTATAGTTCAAGCCATGTACTAGACTATACTCTAAACTCTAGTCCAGACTATAGACTTGACTAAAGTGTAGTATATAACTAGACTAGACTGTAGTTCAAACATAAGTCTAAAATATAGTTAGGCTAAAGACTAGGCTATAGTTCAAGCCTGTACTAGACTATACTCTAAACTATATACTAGACTATAGTCGAGTCTATAAACAATCCAGAATGAAAATAAGACTATATTTCCTACAATATTTAAGAATAAAGTCCATAGTTTAGACACTAGTGAATTGATCAGACTATAGTCCAGATTGTGGAATAGGCTACAGAAAGGACTATACTAAAGTATACTCCAGACTATAAGCCGTAGTCCATAAAGACTAGACTACATTCAAGACGGTAAACTATATACTAGACTATATTCCAGACAATGGAGGCTGATCAATTATACTTTTAAATAAAAAAAGTTCTACTAAGAAATATCTAAATTTAATTAACACATATTATTTGATTAGAAATTTTCAGGAAATTGATACAAAATGCATGGGATTTTCTCGAGAGAAAAAACCACTCAACAAAATGAACATTGCAAACAATTTATAAAAATTCATATGAAAAAGCCAACAATTTGCCTACAGCAATTAAAAGCTAATCAAATCGTAAAATCAATTGACTGAATAAATTATTTTAAAACAAATAGATTTCCATCTAGACTTATTGTAGTGTGTAGCCAGTAAACAGTTGACTTAAATAAATTACTTTACTTAACAACACGATTTTTATTCAAAATCGTGATAATGTTTTCAAGATAAATGGACAAATATTTAAGTATACTACATAAATGATTTGAAATATTTTTTTAAAATTTTTAATAAATATCTTAAATACTTACATATATAAAATAATAAATCCTTTAACTGTGTTCTTGTGATTCTTTACAGCTTTTCAAATTAATCCATGGGTGGTTTGTTTTACTTTTCTAAAAGGCCCTAAGTAGTTGTCACTTTTTGCAGACAGTTGTGTGGGTGAGTTATTTAATAAATATTTATAATTTTTTAAAATTTTTTTTATTCACATTTGCTTTTGTTGTTTTTTTTTTCAATTTTCACTTAATTTTCTGTAAAAAAATACATTTACACGCTTAAATTTAAATCAACATTATATGTCGCCAATAAACTTTTTTTTCACTTCCTTCAAATAGCATTTTTGAACCAAAAGTCTTATTGAAAAAAAACACGATCAGTAAAGTTATCTCATATCAGTGATCAATAGGAAAATCTCAAAAACTCTTTAATCCTCATTAACTTGGTAAATTGATCTCTATCTGAGATCTCTTCATATATTATCGTTTTTATTCGATCTGCGATCACTCCAATCTAAAATCTTCAATAATTTCGAAAATAAGCATTAAATTAATCATGATCAATGATCATTCATGAGAATATATCAATAACTTAACAAATAGGAATTAAACCTGATCAGTTATAAGGTGATCAGTGATCAAAAACTGTTTAATTCTCATTAACTTGGTAAATTGATCTCTATCTGAGATCACCTTATAATTAACGTTTTTATTCGGTAAAAGGATTTGTGATCATTCATAGTATATAGTATGATCTGCGATCACTTCAGTTTAAGATGTTCAATAATTTCGAAAATAAGCATTAAATTAATCATGATCAGTGATAATTCATGCATGGGAATATATCAATAACTTAATAAATAGGAATTTAACCTGATCAGTTATAAGATGATCAGTGATTTCTATACAAAATTGAATCTATGAGCCACTTGATAAAAATAAAATGAAAATGATTCAAAATTTTGTTCAAAATAAGCTCTATCGACACATACGATTATGTGTAATGATCATACGATTATATTACATTAAAAGTATCGCGATCGATCGTGATCAGTTACATTTTTACATCAATATTTTCTTTTAGAAACTTTATTTCTGAATAAATTGTCATGATCTATGATCAATCACTAAAGATCTTAAATCGTTAAGAAATAAGCGTTTTATCGAAAAAGAAGAATCTCGATCTACGATCACACACGAAACGTAAAAAGTAGAACAATTTCAATTTTATGATTTAATTATTTTACGATCTCAATTTTATGCATTGTGGATCGTAGATCACTTGGTAAATAAGTGTTTAATTTAAAATTGCAATAATTAACACATTGTTTAATTAAGAAAACAAGCTCGATTGGCTCATACGATCAATATTTTATGATCATACAATCTTAAGAAAAGAGAAATAACTCGATCGATCGGTGATCAGTTACAATTTTCAATTGTTATTTTCTATTAGAAACTTTAAAGCTTTTATCGTTAATAATTTTTAAAATAAACAATTTTTCCAACAAGAATCTCGATCAGCGATCATGTGTATTTCTAAAAAAGTAGAACATTTGAAATTTTATGATTTTATACTTTAAAGATCTGTTATTTTTTAAAATAATCAATTTTGGATTTCATTTGATAAATAAGCTCGATTGGCTCACGATCAATGTTTAATGATCGTATGAACTTAAGACTAGAGAAATAATTTATCGATCGGTGATCAATTACAATTTTCAACTGATATTTTCTATAAGAAACTTTAAAGCTTTTATTTCTAAATAAATAATGTTGATCTGCGATCAGTAATCACTCACTAAAACTGTTAAATTGTTAACAACTTCTATGAAACAATTATCTCGATCGGCGATCATGCATATACAGAGGGAAAAAGAAATATTTACGGCTGGTACCAAATTGACACCAAACTGTTTTTAATTTTTCAATACCATCCGTTGTCAAAGTATATAAATACGTACAACAACACTATGTAATGTTGCCAACATTGCAACAATTCGTTGTCGATCTCTAAATTTTGTGCACATCCGTTGTCTAAATGTTAACAAATGTGGTAAGCTCACTATAGGCAACGGATTGTGTGTCAAGTGAGCTTACCACGTTTGTTAACATTTAGACAACGGATGTGCACAAAATTTAGAGATCGATGTTTATAAAATTTACATTTCGACAACGAATTGTTGCAATGTTGACAACGTTGCGTTGTCAAAATAAAACATTTGAAATTTTATGATTTAATACTTTTACGATCTGATTTTTTTTACAAAATAAACTGATTTCTTCAAACATTTTTCCTCGCTGTTGGTAGTAAATTTTGATGAACTATATATTCATAATATTATGTACTTGTACTAAATAAAATTTTATATATTTTTTTTAAATTTTCTCTCATTTTAAACATTTATGGAGGCAAATATCACTTTGAAGATTTAATTAACACTTCCGCAATATTATTTTTATTTTTTTCAATTATTATTCTCTTGTTACTTGAGATTTATTTTTCATTCTTTTTTTTTTCAAATTTATACTACATACTATTTTTTCCTTCTTTTAGACATAAATGAATTTCTGTTTTCTTGAACAAAAAAAAAAAAAAAAAAAAAAAAAAAAATAAAGAAAATTATTTTAAATTGAGTTTAAATGTGATTGTCACCGTTTTTGTGTATATAATGGAGTTTGGTGTCTTTTTTTCAGCTGCATTTTTTTTTATTTCATTTCAATTGATTTAATCTAAATCAAAAATCTTTTGTTAAATAAACAAGAAAAGAAAAAAAATCTTATTGCGGTTTAGTATTGCAATGCTCAGGGTGTGAGTTTTCTACAGATTTTCTAAAGAATTGTAAAGAAAATAAGTGCACTACTTGAACTCTTAGCAATTTAGAATGTATAGAAAGTTATTTGGTTAATGGAACGTGTTTAATTTAAATAGTTGTTTAATGTTGTTTTAAAAGAAGCTCCTTCATATGATCGAAATTGGAGCAAAACTATTTGCCTTGTAACTGAAGCATTTGCTAGAGGTATTTTAATGATAATTTACTTTTAATTAAGTTTTATTTTAGAAAAATTTTATTTTCAATAAATCTATTAATTGACTTTTAATAATCTGAAAATGACCCTAAAGCATTTCTATAAGGAAAAAAATTGTTATCATGTTTTCAAAATATAAATAATAATAATAATTTAGAGAATGCAGGCATAAAACAAACAAAATTAGATGATCTCAACTTTTTAAGTGCAATTTTATTATATTTATTTTTTTAAATATTTTGAATAAAGAGCTGCTTTATAAAGACAACACATTTACTATAATAATATTTGCCAGCAAGGCCCAGAATATATTAGAGTGAATAATAATTAGCAGCTGCAAAATAGATGAGAACACTTTTATAACTTTGTTGATCAAGTATGTATGTAGTAGTTGTCGATCAGTAGTCCCATCTCAATAAGAATCTTCAATTCCTTAAAATTTTGTAAATAAGTATTTGAGTTCGATCACTAATCAGTTGGAACATTACTTTGAGCATGAAAATTGAGCTTGATTAGTAAAATGAAAAGTAATATCAGATCAGTGATCACTTGGAAAATCTCAAAAATTCTATCTGAGATCACTTCATAAATTAATGTTTATTCGGTAAAGGGATTTGTGATCATTCATTGTAAGTAGTTCTGCGATCACTCCAGCTTAAAATCTTCAATAATCTCGAAAGTAAGCATTAAATTAATCATGATCAGTGATCATTCATGCATGGGAATATAACTTAATTTAACCTGATCAGTTATAAGGTGATCAGTGCTCAAAAACTCTTTAATCCTCATTAACTTTGTAAATTGATCTCTCTCTGAGATCACTTCATAAATTAACGTTTATTCGGTAAAAGGATTTGTAATCATTCATATTATGTAGTTCGATCTGCGATCATTCATAGTATGTTCGATCTGCGATCACTCCAGTTTAAAATCTTCAATAATCTCTAAAGTAAGCATTAAATTAATCATGACCAGTGATCATTCATGCGTGGGAATATATCAAAAACTTAATAAATCGGAATTTAACCTGAACAGTTATAAGGTGATCAGTGATCAAAAACTGTTTAATTCTCATTAACTTGGTAATTTGATCTCTCTCTCTGAAATCACTTCATAAATTAACGTTTATTCGGAAAAAGGATTTGTAATCATTCATACTATGTAGTTCGATCTGCGATCACTCCAGTTTAAAATTTTCAATAATCGGGAAAGTAAGCATTAAATTAATCATGATCAGTGATCATTTATGCATGGGAATATATCAAAAACTTAATAAATGGGAATTTAACCTGATCAGTTATAAGGTGATCACTCCCAATGGAAATAATAGGAAAATCTCAAAAACTGTTACTCCTCATTAACGCGATAAAGTGATCTCTATATGAGATCATTTCATAAATTAAAGTTTAATTGGTAACAGGATTTATGATCATTCATATTTCTGATCTTTGTCAATAAAAACTTAATAAAAATCCTGAAACCCTTATTAAATCCTAAACAAATGTTTGATAAAGGAAAACTGCTTGATCGGCGATCAACCCAAGCGATAACTTAGGTTATGTGAATATTAATCCCTTTGTGGAAACTGAGTTTAGTACGCCATTATTACTCTGGATCCTACCCGAACCATTTCGCGACACGACTAAAGAAGTTGATCGTTTTAATGTTTAGCCATAAGTCGTGCAGAAAATGTTTTACAATTGTCTTAATCTATGTTCCCCTTCGGGGACGGGCTTTGACAAAGAAAGTGGATAGGATATCATCGACTTCCTCTTCTTTTATGCTTTTGAAGATTTAAGCTCTTCTAGCAAGAAGAACAAAAGTCCTGTTCTCTCGAAAGTGTTGATAAAGTTGCGTCATTCTACAGGTATCCTCGATTGACCTCTTGGAACGTTCATTCTCATGAATCGATCACTTGCAGCTTCTTTTTGCAAGACTATCCATGTATCCACTGTCCATTGTATTATCTATTGATGCCCCAGAATCCACAAATATTCTATACTATGGAATATACCCGTCATTTCGTTCACTGCCCTACAGCGAAGAATGCACCAAGTTTGATGTCATATAATCACTATTAATAGCGGCTTAAGGCAGCTTCTTTTTGCAAGACTACCCATTGTATTATCTATTGATGACCCAGAATCTACAAAAATTCTATACTATGGAATGTACCCGTCATTTCGTTTAGAGATGCCCTATTGTGAAGTAACAAGTTTGATGTCATATAATCACTATTAATAGCGGCTTAAGACAGGCCTAGGACTGTATAATTTATGGAACCTAAGGCAATGTACAGCCTATTTTGTAGCTGATAGTTTAACTGGGCGCAACAAGAATCCCCGTTGCTTCAGAGCCATTAATGCAAAACTCCTGAGATTCATCACGGAGAATTTATTCCATCTCATTTTGAATCGTGTTCGATCTACACGGAGATATGTTCTCCCGCGTTATGGCCAAGTATATGTTTTTACTGCTATTTACTCTGATCTGTAGGTTAATTTGTAACAGCGCGATCGATTGCGATCAAGGTAAGTCTATGGCGGCAATGTTTAGCCAACATAAAGAAGAACTTTAGTTTGTTTATGCAGATACTTAGTAGAGTGGGAGTTAGCGTATGTAGAGGCTAAAGTTAAATGCCAAAGGAACTCTTGGACGCAACTGATTCTCTTGTTAGTAAAAGAAAAGCTATTTTTGCAAAACCTTTCGCCATTGTAGAAACGGTTATCTAATGATGACCCGGAATCCAGTAAAATCCTATTGGAATGTACGCGTCATCTAGTTAAGAGATGCTCGACATTGAGGTTCCAAGTTTGATGTCGTATAATTACTATTAATAGCGGATTAGAGCAGGCCTAAGGCCTGCTCTTTGCCTTAGGTTCTCTGTGGAACCTAAGGCAATTTATAGCTGTCGAGAATACTGTCCCAGGCCTGCTCTAGTTTAGCCGTCAGAAAAAAGTTTTCTTTTAAAGAAATTTCGTTACAGTGGGCGCAACAGAGAAGCTTAGCCGAGTCTATGTTTTTACTGCTATTTATGTAAGGACTCTGGGCTTTAAGACAGCTCCATTGTTTGCGATCAAAGTGGGTCTGTGATGGCAAGGTAAAACTTTAGTTAATCTATGCAGATTATAAAGTGTTTCCAGTGGGAGTTAGCGTATGTAGAAAGGACCTGGAATGTACCCGTCATCTACTTAAGAGATGCCCGACATTGAAGTTCCAAGTTAGATGCCGTATAATTACTATTAATAGCGGATTAGATCAGGCCTAGGGCAACAGCTATAAATTACCTTAGGTTCCGTAGAGAATACTGGCCTAGGCCTGTTCTAGTTTAGCCGTCAGAAAAAAGTTTTCTTTCAAAGAAATTTCGTTACAGTAGGAGCAACAGAGAAGCTTAGCCGAGTCTTTGTTTTTACTGCTATTTATGTAAAGACTCTGGGCTTTAAGATAGCGCCATCGTTCGCAATCAAAGTGGGTCTGTGGTGGCAAGGTAAAACTTTAGTTTAACTATGCAGATAATAAAGTGTTTAAAGTGGGGGTTAGCGTATGTAGAAAGGACCTATTTGGCTCAATTCTCAATACTTATCGATCAATACATCGTCAAACGACAGTAATAAGACTTCATACGATAAAAATATTTTTAACTAAATGAGAATTATAATGTTAATATGTTAAGGATTTGGTTGATTGTCAAATATCGCAATTTAATTTGATTTTCTTCCATAAATCTCTAGAATATTATCTATATATCCAATGATTTAAAAGTTAAAAATTATAATTTTCACGGTGGATCTATATATTTAAATTTGTTGTTGTAGTTTTCAATAACCATTGAAATATTTGGTAAAATATTCACAATTTTTATTTGTTTTTAATTTAAAATTCCAATTTAAAGAAAAAATGTATTTGAAGGAAGTCAAAGTCACGTCTCAATATTTTCACACTAAAAAACTTTGTACTTTATTGTTAATTATTTTTTTAAATATTTAAATAATATATTTTTAGTATTTTTTAATAAAACTATAGAAATTATATTTGCTATTTTTTCGGTAGTTAAGCAAATTGTCAACTACATTATTTTTTTTTTTTTCCAAAAAAAATTATATTTTTAACACAAACAATTTAAATAAATATTTATTTAAATGTTATATTTTTGATTCAAGTATTTATGCTCTTTTCAATTCCTTCTTTTGTGGAATTTTTCTTTAATATTTTTGTCAAACACTCAAATTATTTGTCAAACTTGTTAACACTTCATTTTTTCTTAAACCACAAGATTTTTTCAAAATTTTTTCCATTATTTTTTGTTTAAATATTTTATTGCTTTTCATATTTCATTTGTAATTTTTTATTAACACAAGATAAAAAAATATATTTAAAAAAAATATATTTTACTATTATTAAGTAATACCGCTAAACACACGTTCTCAATACACGAAGTTTTAAACTAAATGAAAAAAAAATCCACAGACGTTGAATAAAATTTATTTTTCATATGAGGAAAACCAAAAAAAAAAAAATCAACAGAAGAGAGATAACGATCGTTTTTATTACATTTAATGCGTTTAAATTACACAAGTTAAATGACACTTGATTATGAAAAATTATTTTATTTGATTCTTTTGTTATACTTGCTGCTGCTACTACAACTACTGGCTGTTGATTCTAATTTAAGTGCTTGAATTATAATAAAAACGAATGAGCAAACTGCTGCAGTTAACCAGATACTGCTTAATATATATATATTTTTAAATTTATTTACATTATTATTTTCACTTTTTTACACTTTTTCAAACTTTTTTCCACTTTAACACTACTACCAGAAGGAGATCCAACCGCACGATCGAACTGCAAAAATACGACTGATAAGCGTTTTTAAATTTAAGTTCTACTAAACCAACCATCCAGCCAGCCCATATTCATCCCAATTATTCATCTATCTAGTTACTCCGACCGTAGTCGTGGTAGTCTCTAATCTAAACATGTTGATGAAAGTGATATTGTTCGTCTCAGTTGTTTGTTTGTATGTGCGAGTATTTTTATAATGTTTAAATGTTAAGTGCAAATAGTGTAATATACACAATCAAATTGGTGTGCTTTTTTTCTTTCTCTAGCATGCAATAAAAAATAAATTTAGATAAAATTCTTAAGGTTAACTTAGCAACGACTGTATAGCACCCTTATGTTTAAAGGTGTGATTTATAGATTTCATATTTGTAAAGCTCTAATTAACAGGTGTGATCGAACAGTGATGATCTTACACCATATACACATGATAAAACGTTATTGTATTATGATCGTGGACATTTGTGTAAAATTGAAAAATTTCTGTTCATACCGTTGATCTCCGAAATATCGCAATATCTGCTCACACGCAATAATTTTTCTATTATTTGTTTAGCTAATCTAGTCTATAGTCTAGTCTATAGTCTAGTCTATAGTCTAGTCTATAGTTCTAGTCTATAGTCTAGTCTATAGTCTAGTCTATAGTCTAGTCTATAGTCTAGTCTATAGTCTAGTCTATAGTCTAGTCTATAGTCTAGTCTATAGTCTAGTCTAGTAGTCTAGTCTATAGTCTATCTATAGTCTAGTCTATAGTCTAGTCTATAGTCTAGTCTATAGTCTAGTCTATAGTCTAGTCTATAGTCTAGTCTATAGTCTAGTCTATAGTCTAGTCTATAGTCTAGTCTATAGTCTAGTCTATAGTCTAGTCTATAGTCTAGTCTATAGTCTAGTCTATAGTCTAGTCTATAGTAGTCTATAGTCTAGTCTATGTCTAGTCTATAGTCTAGTCTATAGTCTAGTCTAATAGTCTAGTCTATAGTCTAGTCTATAGTCTAGTCTATAGTGATAAGCCTAGTCTATAGTCTAGTCTATAGCTAGTCTATAGTCAGTCTATAGTCTAGTCAAGTCTAGTCTATAGTCTAGTCTATAGTCTAGTCTATAGTCTAGTCTATAGTCTAGGTCTATTAGTCTAGTCTATAGTCTAGTCTATAGTCTAGTCTATAGTCTAGTCTATAGTCTAGTCTATAGTCTAGTCTATAGTCTAGTCTATAGCTAGCTTAGTCTAGTCTATAGTCTAGTCTATAGTCTAGTCTAGTCTAGTCTATATCTAGTCTATAGTCTAGTCTATAGTCTAGTCTATAGTTTCTAGTCGTCTATAGTCTAGTCTATAGTCTATCTATAGTCTAGTCTATAGTCTAGTCTATAGTCTAGTCCTATAGTCTAGTCTATAGTCTAGTCTATAGTCTAGTCTATAGTCTAGTCTATAGTCTAGTCTATAGTCTAGTCTATAGTCTAGTCTATAGTCTAGTCTATAGTCTAGTCTATAGTCTAGTCTATAGTCTAGTCTATAGTCTATAGTCTAGTCTATAGTCTAGTCTATAGTCTAGATAGTCTAGTCTATAGTCTAGTCTATAGTCTAGTCTATAGTCTAGTCTATAGTCTAGTCTATAGTCTAGTCTATAGTCTAGTCTATAGTCCAGTCTATAGTCTGGTCTATAGTCTAGTCTAGCCTAGTCTAGTTTAGTCTAGTCTATAGTCTAGTCTAGTTTAGTCTAGTCTATAGTCTAGTCTATAGTCTAGTCTATAGTCTAGTCTATAGTCTAGTCTAAAGTCTAGTCTATAGTCTAGTCTATAGTCTAGTCTATAGTCTAGTCTATAGTCTAGTCTATAGTCTAGTCTATAGTCTAGTCTATAGTCTAGTCTATAGTCTAGTCTATAGTCTAGTCTATAGTCTAGTCTATAGTCTAGTCTATAGTCTAGTCTATAGTCTAGTCTATAGTCTAGTCTATAGTCTAGTCTATAGTCTAGTCTATAGTCTAGTCTAATAGTCTAGTCTATAGTCTAGTCTATAGTCTAGTCTATAGTCTAGTCTATAGTCTAGTCTATAGTCTAGTCTATAGTCTAGTCTATAGTCTAGTCTATAGTCTAGTCTATAGGTCTAGTCTATAGTCTAGTCTATAGTCTAGTCTATAGTCTAGTCTATAGTCTAGTCTATAGTCTAGTCTATAGTCTAGTTATAGTCTAGTCTATAGTCTAGTCTATAGTCTAGTCTATAGTCTAGTCTATAGTCTAGTCTAGTCTAGTCTAGTCTAGTCTATAGTCTAGTCCTATAGTCTAGTCTATAGTCAGTCTATAGTCTAGTCTATAGTCTAGTCTATAGTCTAGTCTATAGTCTAGTCTATAGTCTAGTCTATAGTCTAGTCTATAGTCTAGTCTATAGTCTAGTCTATAGTCTAGTCTATAGTCTAGTCTATAGTCTAGTCTATAGTCTAGTCTATAGTCTAGTCTATAGTCTAGTCTATAGTCTAGTCTATAGTCTAGTCTATAGTCTAGTTCTAGTAGTCTAAGTCTAGTCTATAGTCTAGTCTATAGTCTAGTCTATAGTCTAGTCTATAGTCTAGTCTATAGTCTAGTCTATAGTCTAGTCTATAGTCTAGTCTATAGTCTAGTCTATAGTCTAGTCTATAGTCTAGTCTATAGTCTAGTCTATAGTCTAGTCTATAGTCTAGTCTATAGGTCTAGTCTATAGTCTAGTCTATAGTCTAGTCTATAGTCTAGTCTATAGTCTAGTCTATAGTCTAGTCTATAGTCTAGTCTATAGTCTAGTCTATAGTCTAGTCTATAGTCTAGTCTAGTAGTCTAGTCTAGTCTATAGTCTAGTCTCTAGTCTAGTCTATAGTCTAGTCTATAGTCTAGTCTATAGTCTAGTCTATAGTCTAGTCTATAGTCTAGTCTATAGTCTAGTCTATAGTCTAGTCTATAGTCTAGTCTATAGTCTAGTCTAGTAGTCTATAGTCTAGTCTATAGTCTAGTCTATAGTCCAGTCTATAGTCTGGTCTATAGTCTAGTCTAGCCTAGTCTAGTTTAGTCTAGTCTATAGTCTAGTCTAGTTTAGTCTAGTCTATAGTCTAGTCTATAGTCTAGTCTAAAGTCTAGTCTATAGTCTAGTCTATAGTCTAGTCTATAGTCTAGTCTATAGTCTAGTCTATAGTCTAGTCTATAGTCTAGTCTATAGTCTAGTCTATAGTCTAGTCTATAGTCTAGTCTATAGTCTAGTCTAAAGTCTAGTCTATAGTCTAGTCTATAGTCTAGTCTATAGTCTAGTCTATAGTCTAGTCTAGTCTAGTCTATAGTCTAGTCTAAAGTCTAGTCTACTAGTCTAGTCTATAGTCTAGTCTATAGTCTAGTCTATAGTCTTAGTCTATAGTCTAGTCTATAGTCTAGTCTATTAGTCTATAGTCCTAGTCTATGTCTAGTCTAGTCTAGTCTATAGTCTAGTCTATAGTCTAGTCTATAGTCTAGTCTATAGTTCTAGTCTATAGTCTAGTCTATAGTCTAGTCTATAGTCTAGTCTATAGTCTAGTCTATGTCTAGTCTAGTTAGTCTATAGTCTAGTCTATTAGTCTAGTCTATAGTCTAGTCTATAGTCTAGTCTATAGTCTAGTCTAGTCTATAGTCTAGTCTATAGTCTAGTCTATAGTCTAGTCTATAGTCTAGTCTATAGTCTAGCTAGAGTCGAGCTATAGTCTAGTCTATAGTCTAGTCTATAGTCTAGTCTATAGTCTAGTCTATAGTCTAGTCTATGTCTAGTCTATAGTCTAGTCTATAGTCTAGTCTATAGTCTAGTCTATAGTCTAGTCTATAGTCTAGTCTATAGTCAGTCTATAGTCTAGTCTATAGTCTAGTCTATAGTCTAGTCTATAGTCCTAGTCTATAGTCTAGTCTATAGTCTAGCTATAGTCTAGTCTATTAGTCTAGTCTATAGTCTAGTCTATAGTCTAGTCTATAGTCTAGTCTATAAGTCTAGTCTATAGTCTAGTCTATTATAGTCTAGTCTATAGTCTAGTCTATAGTCTAGTCTATAGTCTAGTCTATAGTCTAGTCTATTCTATAGTCTATTCTATAGTCTAGTCTATAGTCTAGTCTATAGTCTAGTCCTATATCTAGTCTATAGTCTAGCTATAGTTTAGTCTATAGTTGTCTATAGTCTAGTCTATAGTCTAGTCTATAGGCTAGTCTATAGTCTCAGATCTATAGTCCAGTCTATAGTCTAGTCTATAGTCTAGTCTATAGTCTAGTCTATAGTCTAGTCTATAGTCTAGTCTATAGTCTAGTCTATAGTCTAGTCTATAGTCTAGTCTATAGTCTAGTCTATAGTCTAGTCTATAGTCTAGTCTATAGCTCTAGTCTATAGTCTAGTCTATAGTCTAGTCTATAGTCTAGTCTATAGTCTAGTCTATAGTCTAGTCTATAGTCTAGTCTATAGTCTAGTCTAGTCTATAGTTTAGTCTATAGTCTAGTCTATAGTCATCTATAGTCTATATAGTCTAGTCTATAGTCTAGTCTATAGTCTGGTCTATAGTCTAGCCTATAGTCCAGTCTATAGTCTGGTCTAGTCTAGTCTAGTCTAGTCTAGTCTAGTCTAGCCTAGCCTAGTCTAGTCTACTCTACTCCATAGTCTAGTCTATAGTCTAGTCTAGTCTTAGTCTATAGTCTAGTCTATAGTCTAGTCTATAGTCTAGTCTATAGTCTAGTCTATAGTCTAGTCTATAGTCTAGTCTATAGTCTAGTCTATAGTCTAGTCTATAGTCTAGTCTATAGTCTAGTCTATAGTCTAGTCTATAGTCTAGTCTATAGTCTAGTCTATAGTCTAGTCTATAGTCTAGTCTATAGTCTAGTCTATAGTCTAGTCTATAGTCTAGTCTATAGTCTAGTCTATAGTCTAGTCTATAGTCTAGTCTATAGTCTAGTCTATAGTCTAGTCTATAGTCTAGTCTATAGTCTAGTCTATAGTCTAGTCTATAGTCTAGTCTATAGTCTAGTCTATAGTCTAGTCTATAGTCTAGTCTATAGTCTAGTCTATAGTCTAGTCTATAGTCTAGTCTATAGTCTAGTCTATAGTCTAGTCTATAGTCTAGTCTATAGTCTAGTCTATAGTCTAGTCTA